GGGAAAAAATTCTGAAGGTATATTATTTTGAAAATGGAGTTGAAAAATACTTACATTTCTGTTATATTATCTAATGCTGACTATGTGTCTTTTGGATGGGTAGGGCGTTAGTGAGTCAGGGTCTTACTATGTAGTCCAGGCTAGATTCAGACTCAAACTTGGACTTTTCCAATCCCAGCCTTCTGATTTTTCTGGGGTTAGAGGGTGCACCACTATGTCTGGTTATATGTCACTTCTTTTTTTTTTTGCATTTAGTACAGGGTCTTACTACGTAGATTGGACTTGTAGTGATTCTCCTGTTTTTAGCCTCCCAAGTGCTGGGATTATAGGTGGGTGCCACCATGCCCAGCCTCAATCCTGTCTCAGTGCATACTTTAATACTCTCAGCTATCTGGCTGACCCTGTATGTCACTTTTAAAAAGAGATTTTTGTTTCTTAATTTTTGGCCCATTTCTTTATTAGCTGAATTCCATTTAATAGAACATTTATGTTTACAGATGATTTTTGTTTTGAACTCTTGTGAGCCGAAGAAGGCTTTTTGTGGCCTTTTTGTATAACATGTACAGTAGATGTGAATATTTTTGTTTATATATATGTTTGCTTGCTTGCTTGCTTGGTTGTGACAGGGTCTCACTATTTAGTTCAGGGTAGCCTTGAACTTACTATGTAGCCCAGGTTGGCCTCTAACTTGCAGTGATTTGCCTCAACCTGATTGCTGCTGGGATTGCAAGTTTGTGCCACTACACTTGGCAACACTTCTTTTTTTTTTTTTTTTTTTTTAAATAACGGAACCGGGACTTGAACCCAGGCCCTTGCACTTGCCAAGGAAGCACTTACTCTACTGAGCTATCTCTCTGGCCCCGACACTTCTTAAGAATGTCATTTATTCATTGAATTTAGGTATTAAGTATTGCTAAGAAACAGATTTTCTACAAAATATACTACCTGCGTGGGCATACTCACAAAAATGGCTTGCTTTTAAGGCATCTTTGTTGTTGAATGATGTCCAAAATTTCAGTGGTTTATAAGAATGAATACTTTTTTTCCTTCATGTATTTAATTTAGCCTAGGCTAATTTTCTGTTGACTAGGCTTTGTTGCCATCTGTGGATTATTATTTTTTTTCTCCTAAAATCAAGGAAATTAGTGGTCCATGCTGTCATAGTAAACATAGGAATAGACCAAATGCAAATACATTTTTGCCTTCTACTTCTCTTAGCATTTCATTGACCAGATCAAATGTTGTAGCCAATACTGAAAATCATTGTGACAGAGTAATATATTTCATTTACACTAAGATCATCCCATGATGGAGTAAGTGATAGATAAAAATATTGACTTATGCTGTCCCTTAAAATTTCATGTCCAGATCCTAGTTTGATTTCTGTCTTAATCCTTGAAGGTCATGATTAAGGAAAAAAAAAAATAGAAACACATTTCTGATTACTTAGTTCGTAGAAGTTCAGGTACCCCTTGTCCTTTCTTACATTATCATATAATAGATGTTATTGACCATAAAGGCAATATTTTGTCAATAGCATTGTTTACTTTTGTTCTTCCTTTCTTTATATTTCCTTTTCATATCTGTAAATTTAAATACTTTTACCTAAAATACTTTGGGTCACCTATTTTCAGTGATACATAACAAAAAACAATATAAACTGGCTGAACTATTATTGAAAGAAATGTATCATAAAATAGGATACACAGTTACTTTTTCTTAATGAGAAGAAAGATTTGTACTAAGTGTTTGGACAGGATATCATGTCTGCATCTTGTACTATGAATAACCACTACGAAGACAACAATATGCAGTGTATTAATTATTGAAACTGTCCTACCAGTCGGTTTTGAAACTGTCTCACTGCTATTTGTTTCTCAATAAAATTAATTTAAAAAAGAAAAAGAAAAACAAGGTAAGCTGGACCCAGGTGCTGCAGCAGTTTAAGCTCTGCCCCCTTCATGTTTGTTCCCTCACAACAGGCTCATCCATCATCATTATAAGATGATTGTTAGCAGCTCCTAGAGCTACCAGGCTCTACAGGGTCTCACTACATAAATCGGACTCATAGTGATCCTCCTGTTTACAGTCTCCCAAATGCTGGGATTGTGGTGGAACACCACGACGCCCAGTCTCAATTGCCCTCTCAGCAAGTGGGTGGTACTGGTTGAATGGCAGGCCCGGGGATTGAACTCCTGGCCCCTGCATTTGTCTAAGCAGGTGCTTAAATCCGCTGAGCTATTTGGCCGGTCCTGACACTTTAGATAAAATGAAACACCATTGAATCTGTCTGGCTCACTACAGAGTCAAATGATAAACTAAAAAGTTTTTCTGATGATAAATATGGTTATAAAAAATGTTTCAGGGGCCGGGGATATGCTCGGTAGAATAAGTGCTTACTTGGCAAGCACGAGGGCCTGAGTTCAATCCCTGGTTCTGCCCCCCAAAAAAAAAAAAAAAAAAAAAGTTTCAAATTTGTAAGGAAAATGTGACATATACAGACTCATCCTTCTACCACATCTTTCACTAGATGTGTGTACATTTACTATCATTTTGTAGGTGTTACTTTAAGGACTTTTTGTTAATGTTATATTTACATTCTAGGTATTTAGCCTTTCTTTCCCCCCTCTCTAATTTAAACCCCTATGTGCCCATTGGCAGTCTGTTACTCAGTAAATGCAGTGTTCGAGATTCTTGAGAAATGAAGATTCTTCATTTATTAGCACTGAAATCATTTGACATTTCTTTTGAAGTGACATTAAACTGTGCAGAATTTTTGTTTGAATATTCATATTTCATTATGTGTAGTTATGATTATAGTACTGCCCCCCAGTTTCCTAAGCATTGTCATATAATTTAGGTATATTGGGCTACTGTTCTAAAATCTGGGGAGGATGAGGTTATCTGTAACTGTTGGCCTAAGTATTTTGGGTGAGAGATTCTAGGTTTATGTCTGTAATAGTATCACACCACAGTGTGATATAGAGGTTTGCTTCCTGCTCTTCCTTCATAGCCTCTCAGCTAAGAGAGCTTTTCTGTTTGAACTCATCAACTCTAGTTTATCACCTTACTTAATATTGAGATTGAATGCCGTTAATGAGAGTAAACTAACCAAAGAATTTACTGAGTTTTTTTTTTTCCTTAGATAGACATTTTCCTTTTAAGCCATTTCTTTTGTGTTTTGCTTCTGCTTTTTTCTTCTCAGTGTAATGTTGGCTTCATAATTTACTAACTGGGGATTTGAAAAAAACTTTTTAAAGATCTATATATTAGTTTTTTTCATTTGTAAATACATATAATTTTGCCTACCATGTAGGATTTTTGTGAAGACTTAAGTAGAAGTTTCCTGGAACTTAGCATTTTTGAGCTTTAATGTAGCTATAATAATTTATGTCTTGATTGCTATTTTAACATGGTTATTTTAATAGCTGTTTGCTTAGGACTTTGAGGTCATTTTCAGTGCTTTTGTGCTTCTAACAATGGTGAAGGAAGTAAATCTTTGCACATAAGTGCCTAAGTCCCCTCCCCCCCTTTTCCGTTTATGTGTTTGGTACAGGGTCTCACTATGCAGCTCAGACTCGTAGTGATCATCCTGTTTTCAGCCTCTCAACCTCTGTAAGTGCCTGAATCCTTATAGCCTTATTTCTTTGTTGATGGATTTTAAAGTGGGATTGTTAGAGTGGCTCCAGTTATTTTACAGGAAACTGCAAAAACTACGTGGAGACCAATGTTTACTTAATTCAGCATCTTCCAGTGGTAATATCTTATATAATTTTAGTACAATAGTTGGGAACCTGGAAATTAACATTTTTATGTAAGATTTGAATCTATTTCTCTCAGTCTAACCAGGGTTATCTTTTCTTTTTTGTTCGTTCTTTTTTTTTCTTTTTTAAAATATATTTGGTATAGAGTCTCATTAGGCAGCTCAGACTTGGACTTCTAATGATCCTCCTGTTTTCAGCCTCCCCAGTGCTGGGATTATAGGCATGTGTTACCATGCCAGGTCTTGGTGGCCAGCTCACCTTGCCCAGGGAGTGGGACCGGCGTGGCATGTGGTGCGGGAATCAAACCCCTTCTCCAGTTCCTGCACTTGTCTGAGCAGGCATTTGTCTGCTGAGCTATCTCACCCACCCTTAACCAGTGGTGGTATCTTGATCTCACAACACACATATACCTGTGTTTTTATATTCAAAATAATACTCAGAATCCTGTTTGCCTTTTATGTGTCCTCATGGTAGTTTTAAGGAAAAGAAATGATGGCAGTGTATTAAGTTTCACAGCTCAGATTTCAAGTGGTGCAGCAATAACAGGATGATAAATATAAACAACTAATTTGAGGACAACACTATGTAATACAACAAATACTGTGAAATTCATACTATTTTGTTTAGTGACATTCTGTATCAGTTGTAATTCTGTTTTAACAAGAGGATAGAGCTGGGCAGATAGCAGTCTTAAGCACCTGCCCAGCAATCACAAGGACCTGGGTTCAATGCCTAGTACCACATGCCATGCCAGCCAGGAACACCATGAGGCTACAGAAACTGGGCGTAGTGGTATACACCTTTAATCCCAGCACTGGGGAGGCTGAGACAGGAGGATCACTACAAGTCTGAGTTGTGTAGTGAAACTCTGTACCAAATAAATAAATAAATGATTTTTTAAAAAATAGGATATTGTTAATTTAAATCTGTGTATGATCCCCCCATACTTTATTGTAAAGCTTGTGCTTTTTAAAAATAACATAGAATGTGTACAAAGTATGTGTGTTCTTCTTGACTTAAATTTAAATAATAGATCAAAATTAAAGAATTGTTTTTTTCAGATGTATAAGTAACTTTTATATCCATTTCAATCATGGCAACCCCTTTCTAGATTGACATTGTTTAAATTAAAGGAGTATTTACCAATTTAAAAAGAATAAAGTCAATGTTTACATACTTTCCAGAGCGAGAGACCAGAATCTATGCTCATGTCATCATCATCTTTTTGTTTTGCAGTGGGACTTCCCCTCTTGCTTGCCTGAATGCAATGCTACATACAAACTCGCGAGGTGAAGAAGGCATCTTTTATAAAGTTCCAGGTAGAATGGGAGTGTATACTTTGAAGGTAAATATTTCTGTTGGAAAGTCATCTAAAAAGAAAGAATAGAAAGTGACATCTTAAGTAATATTTGTATACAGATAGAATTCTGTTCTTGGGCTGGGGAGATAGCTCAATGGTACATTGCCTGCCTGGGAAGCACAAGGTCCTGAGTTCAATTCCTGGTACTAAAAAAAAAGAATTCTGCTCGTGAAAAACTTACTTTCAGTAAGAGATAATACTTTTAACTCTGTAACATGCACACATGTACATTGTTTATTTCCTTTTGGGTGCTGTGGACCGAACCTAGAAAATTACTCACATTCCCTCCCAGCCCCTCATGTGTGTGTCTTTTTTTTTTTTTTTTTTCCTTGTTACTAATCTATAAGTAGACCAGAGAAGTAATTATTCCTTATGATAATTTTTCTTTTGGGTGGAACTGGGAATTGGACTCAGGCCCTTGCACTTCCCAGGCAAGTGCTTTTTCTATTGAGCTATCTCCCCAGCCCACCTTATGATACTATCTTGAAAGGATGAAATAAAAATGACTTCTGGTGATTTTTTTTTTTTTTTTTTTTAAAGATGTTGTTAGGACTGGGGAGATAGTTCAGCAGCATAAGCACCTGCCTGGCAAGCCTGGGGTCCTGAGTTCTATTCCTAGTGGCCCTGGCTATGGTCAGCCTCCCAAGTAACTTGGATCATTGTACTACCACTCCCAGATTCTCCAATGACTTTAAAAAACTGTACCATTTGAGTATTTATTGGGTATTATGATGAAACATACTGACTGGAAGCTTTATATTACCTTCTCATTTAGTTCTCTGCTATAACATGATTGTGATTCTTCTTCTCTTCTTCCTCCCCTTCCCCCCTCCTTCCCATCCCCTCTCCTTTTTTTAATGGAAAACGCCAAAGTTAAGAAGATTTAATTGCTCTGACTAGTGTTAGCCAGTTTGTGTCAGAACTAGAATATCAACCCAGATATGACTTAACTCTTTTTTTTTTGACTTAACTCTTAAACCCATTTTTTTTTTTAACTTTCACAGCAAGTGGGCTAATACTTTAATTCCTACGTTGAAGTGACTTTTACTTATTAATATCCTTTCAGTTAGAAGCAGTCAGAACAACTCTGATTGAGTGGGAGTGAGATAAAATTTATGGAAATACATCTGCTCAGATGATATTGTCAGGGCTTGGTGTCTCCATTTTGTTTTGGTTGACTTTATTATTTCCTCATCATACGTGTCTTTAATCTCAGTCCCCATTTTTGTATACTTTAAGCCTAGAGCGAGAAAAACCCAGAATTTGGTTCAGTTGGTTAATTAATGTGGCCATACCTAAATGTGGCTATTGCCAAAAATATAGATTCTTCTGATTGGGCAGTATCAAGAGCATGATCACTTTTGGTATAAGGTTGAGTTGGAGTCCACTCCAGACTGGTGAACTGAGAAAAGAAACTTGCTCAAAGTAAGTTTATCAGGAGACTAAATAGCTCAATAAATGTTATTCAGAGTAAAAGAGAAAATTGGAGTAGTTAGAGCATAATCTGTGCATGAGCTTCTTTTCTGTTAAGGCATCTAAGTATGGTAAACATAAAGTTGAGTCCAAATTTAGAGCACTTGAACCTTAGTGAGCCATTTATTATGCACATTCGTGTGTGTGTCAGGTTTTCCAGAAGAACATAATTAAGTAGATTTCAGAGAGAAGCAAGAATAATGTTGGTTGTAGTTGTCTGGAGTAGTGAAACTAAGAGAATGGTAAAGGAGGTTGACTAAGGGGCATTACAGAATTAGAGAGTAACACATTTGGACTGGATAAGAGAGGGTGATAAGATTCTAAGATTTGGGATGTGAGCAGGTGATCCCAGGATCCCAAGTTTTTTACAAAAAGAAGTTAATTATATTTGTATTTCAGATACTTGTTGAACCTACAGGTCAAGATATCTGGCTGACAGCTAACTATAAAAGCTGTCCTGCATTTTGAAGGAAAGAATAGAAAAATATGGGGTCTGTATTTTAAGAAAGTGTGTAACATAAGGGATGACTTGCAGAGAAATGGCACTAGGATATAAACTTAAGTGGAGAAATTGTTCCTTACTATACTGGAGTTCATGATATTGGCTGTAATGTCACATGTGTGTCACTTATATGTGAGAGGGTCACATTTTGTCTTTGTCTGAATATTTTAATTATAAAAATAAAATATATAGGAGGGCCGGTCAGATAGTTCAGCTGATCAAAGTGCCTGCTTAGGCAGACACAGGGACTGGCATGCCATGCTGGCCTTGCCCCTGGGGTGGGCTAGTTGAGATGGTGATTGAGTCTAGGTGTGATGGCGTGCGCCTGTAATCCCACTGCTTGGGAGGCTGAAAACAGGAGGATCACTACGAGTCCGATCTGTGTAGTGAGACCATGTAGACCCTGTACTAAATATATAATTAAAAAAAATAGGAAAGCAAAATTGGTGGGAAAAATCTGTTACTGTAATTTAGACATAACATTCACTAGTGTATTTATACAAATATTTTTATATACAGCATAAATTTATAGTAACATTTCTTGAACTTTTATGCCAACATTTTATATTAAGTCATTTAATTTCTCTCTGTCTGTCTGTCTGTCTGTCTGTCTTTTCTTTTCTTTTCTCTTTGTTTGTTTGTATTTGGTACAGGGTCTCACTATGCAGCTCAGACTCATAGTGATCCTCCTGTTTTCAGCCTGCCCAGGGCTGGGGTTATAGGCATGTGCCGCCATGCCTGATCTCAGTGGCCGGCTTAGTGCACCCTGGGGTAGGGCTGGTATGGTACATGGTGCTGGGTATCGAGCCATGTGCTTGCCTAAGCAGATGTTTAACATCTGCTCAGCTATCCTTTTTTTTTTATTTTTATTTTTTTAATTTTATTGAGAAATAAATATGAATGAGACAGTTTCAAAGCTGATTAATAGGACAGTTTCGATAATCAATACATTGTATGTACATTGTTATCTTCTTAGTGGTTATCCATAGCACAAGAAGCAGACAGGATGTCCTATCCAAACACTATTAGTATACCTCTTTCTTCTCATTGGATTAAGCGAAAGTAGCTGTATCTCTATCCTATTTTGTATATATAAATACAAAATGATCTTTCCTTTGTATCCCTTTTTTTTGTTTAGTCCTGTCAGAGGTGAATATTCTATTGACATCTAAATACTATAGGTGTTTGAACTCAGCAAAACAATCCAACACTGTCTAGCAGTCTATAATATTATTGGGTTATCCTCAGAAGTTACTGACTTAAACCTTTTACAACTCATCGCATTAATATGGCTTTACTTTATATACCTCGTCTTTATACTTTTCTGCTGGATGGTTAAGACCAAGATAAAGCAAGACCTATATACCAAGAAATGTAACTTTTGTATCTGATAAGGTCCGTCAAGTGCCCTCAGGATTTATCCTGTAGCCCTGTACTGCAGTTTGTAGATCCTTTGTCAGTGTCAGCCATGAGGATGTCATGACCATAGCTTGACCAATTTGCTCTCTGTGAAAACCTGAGAGAATGTTTTTTCTCTCCATGTGACTCTCCCCAGGCACACTATACATCATCGATCATATTCCTCTGTGGCTCCATAATCTTTTTTTTTTTTTTCCCCATAATCTTCTTGATCAGAAAATTTGGAGCACAACTGAGTTACATGTTGTTGCACTACAGGTTCTCCTATGTCCTGAGTCTTCACTGACCTTGAAAGGTTAGGGCTAAAATGTTGGCTGACCTTACAGCCCTTTCTTTTCTCCAATTTTGAACTGCTAACTTAGATTGTTAAGCCTCCAGGAGAGAAGCTTATTATTAACCTGCAATATATGTAATTCGGTTTACTCTATCTGTCTAAATATCAAACATCTTTGGCATATCATGGAACAGGTATTTTTCCATCAAATATTGGTATGTTGAATAAGTCCTTACAGAATATGAAGGAAAAATAGTTTTATGAAAGTAGAAATAAGCATTTACATATTTTTACAAAGAAATTTAGAAATCTGATCATATACAGAATTGTAACAGGACAGACTTGTGACATTTATTTTTTTTCTTATTCTTGGGTCTTTTTTTTCATTTTTTTTTTTTTTCATTTATTACCCTAAAAAATAACCTTTACTTGAGAGACATTGTGGCAATAAATGGTATGTCATGACAAGAAGTACATATTTGGAAGACCAGGATGGCAGGTGCTCCAAGCGTGACCCCTCTATTACACATCACCATCCTCAGTGCAGTCGCTTGGCTCACAGGCACCAGCATATAGAGTTAGTCAGGGTGAGAATCTCACCAGCCAACCACTAGTCTCAAAGACCTGCTGATGTACCCCAGGATCACTGCCTGACCCATCTCGTGCGTACAAATGCATGGCTTTGCCCCGTCATGATTCTCAGCTTTTCTCATTGCCCACTCCTCATTGTCCAATCCTCAAGTTCTTGCTTTCCTTTTATTTGTGTTGTAACTTTCTATATGTAATTCCTCTTTTAAGTTCTTATACTAGGGAGACAATACGGTATTTACTTATGTGGGTCTGGTTTATTTCACTTATATCTTCAAGTGGCACTGCTGAGCTATCTTGCCAGCCCTTAAGTCATTTAATTTCTCAATGATTTTTTGAGATGGTATTATTTTCTCTACCTTATAGTCAGGGAAATTGAGCCAGGTATGGTTAACACTTTGACCAATGCTGTGCAGTTAGAGGATAAAGCCAGAAAACTTTGTTTTCCTAGTTCTTAGTCTTGTAGTTATTCTGTTGTTTCTTTTACACAGTGAACAGACACATGGATCCTTTGTGATTAGCATTCTTATTAAGCTCCCAAACCAACCATATTGATAGAATTTTTTAGACATAGTCCTTTTCTATTTGGCCCTTAGTACTTATTAACCAGTAGAATAAAATAATGTGCTCTCTTGCCATCCAGCCTTCAGTTCTCTAATTGAATGCAGAATATATAGTAGTACTTACACAGATGTATGTATATTTAACATTATTGAGATCTCCTGAACACATCATTTACCTGGACTTAGATTTCTCCAATTTTGTCCAATTTAAGGATATGTTTTGCGTCTCTATATAAATGTTATGGTTTTTTTTAAAAAAATCTTTGATTTCAGATGGAAACATTTGCTTACTTGCTTGATCCAAAATGAGAAATGATAGGAATTCAGAAAATATTGCTAGTTCTGCTACTATGTTTTATAATACTAAAAATTAGTACAGTTAAATTGCAAGATTGCATATGAGAATTTCATTCCTGTTGGTCCTAATTCTAATAATTAATCCTAATTGGATGCTGCATTTTTCAGAAAGATGTTCCGGATGGGGTGAAAGAGCTATCAGAAGGTTCAGAAGAAAGCACTGATGGTCAGTCAGATTCCCAGAGTTCTGAGAACAGCAGCAGCAGCAGTGATGGTGGCAGCAACAAAGAGGGAAAAAAGAGCAGGTGGAAAAGGAAAGGTAAATCTACCTAATCTTCAATAAAGTACTGAATGCTGTTTATATCTAATACTCTTTCCTCTTCCCAGACTGCAGGCCAGTCAGTCTCTTTCTTTTACCCTCTATATATTTCTAGTAGTTGCTGTACTAAAAAATATTTACATCTATACTGTCCAACCCAACACACTAGCCACTCAGCTGGACATACTAGTGTGACCCAGGATTGATTGATTGATTGATTGATTGATTTCTTTCTTTCTTTCTTTCTTTCTTTCTTTTTTTCGGAACTGGGGATCGAACTCAGGCCCTTGTGCTTGCCAGGCAATCAAAAATATTTTTCTTTTTAAGGATAGGTTTAGGTTCATAGAAAAACTAAATAGAATTACTAAGCTAAATATAAATTGTCCACATTGTCCCTACCCCCACACAGGCATATCCTTGTACACTTTGAAGATTCCCCATCATTGTGTACTTCTGTTGCAGTGGATGTATCTACCATTGGCACATTGTTATCCCCAGAATCAGGGCTTATTCTTGGTGGCATATATTCTAAGGCTTTGGACAGATTATCATCATCATCATCATCATCATCATCATCATCATCATCATCATCATCATATTTCTTGGTCCTTGGAATCAAATTCACAATCTCTTGCAGGTGCTGTGCTGCTGAACTATATCCTTGGCCCCTGGACAGATATTATAATGTATAAAGACATGTGCCCTAAACATCTTCTATCCTCCATCTACTCAACTCTCTTACTAACCATTGACCTTTTAAAAATCTTTTCATAGTTTTGCCTTTTCCATAATGTCATATAGACAGTTGGAACATTTTCATACTGGCTTCCTATATTAGTAATAATGACATTTTATTATATCTTGATGGTCATTCTTTTTAGTACTTAACAATATTTTATTGTTGAGTGAATCCAAGTTTATTCATTCTTTTTAAAGGTCATTGGTTGTGTCCATATTTTGGCAATTATAAAGTTATTTATTTCTTTTGGATGAATAGAAGAATGTGGTTGTGAAATTATATACAAGGAACATGTTTAGTTTTATAAGAAACAACTAGGCTTCATCAGATTGGCTTTTGCCTTTCCACCATTGGGGAATCAGAGTTCTGTTGCTTTCCATCCTTACCAGCATTTGATGTTGTTTGTGCTCTAAAGTTTGGCCGCTTCTATAGGTGCAGCATTTTCTAGATGATATGTGATGTACATCTTTTTGTTCACTTATTTCCCATCTCTCTTATGTTCTTTGGTGAGATGTGTTCAGACCTTTAATGCATTTTCTTTTTTATTTAATGTATTTCAAGCATTCTTGATGTATTTCAAGTAATATTTATTTTCATTTATGTATTTGGTACATGGTCTCACTATGGAGCTTGGACTTGTAGTGATCCTCCTGTTTTCAGACTCTCTAGCACTGGGATTACAGGCATGTGCCACCACGCCCAGACTCGTTTACCTGCTCAGCTTGTGCTTCAAGTAATAGTCTTTTAATAGTGTCTTGGTTACTTTTTATTCGTTGCTGGGACAAAATACCGGACACCCAAAATTAAGGATGTTTATTTAGCTCACAGTTAGTGGAGGTTTTAGTCCATACTTGGCTGGCTCCAAGGCAGAAGGCATAAGGGAACAGCAGTTCATGGCAGCAGCAAACAGCAAAGGTAGGAGTAGCAGCTGAGGCATCTGTTAAGCCTTTCTTCCTTCCTTCCATGCTGACTGTGAAGACTAAGCTCCTCTAAGGAAATGTTGAGCAAAATCCTTCCTTGACCCCACTCTAGGATGGGACCTCCATGCCCCAGAGAGAGGGCTCCATGCAGTAGTGCATGGAGTTGCTGTAGATCTAGCCAAGCTTCGGACCCCTCACACAATGTGTTAACCACCAGTGTATTCACTCTACCGTCTCTCTCTCCTTTTTTTTTTTTTTTTTGCTTACAGCATAAGTTTTTAATTTTGATGCAATCCAGTTCTTTTGTGGGTTGTATCCAGAAGACACCATCAGATCCAGGGTAATGAAGTTTTTTCCTGTTCTCTTTTAGGAGTTTTACAATTTTTTTATTTAAGTCTATGATCCATTTCTAATGACGTTGGTGTTTTTGTTTTTTTGCTTTAAATTGCATTGGAGATGAAAACCAAAAAGTCCTGAGCTATATTCCTAGAAACTTCTTCCTCTGTTTTTAAAGATTGTCTCACTAAGTAGCCAGGATTGACCTTGAACTCTGTCCTTCTGCCTCAGCTTCCTGTTCTGCATTTTAGGTACAGGCCACCAGGCCAGCTTTGTTTTTAAATTTTAGCTTGAGATTGGCTCTTGCTAGGTTACTGCAGATGTCTCCAAACTTGGGATCCTCCTGTCTCAGCTCCCCAGATAGCAGGGATTAGAGATATGCACCACTGTGCCCAGCTTTGAGTTTTTTGTGAGAGCTGTGAGATCTGTCTCTATATTTATTTTTTTGTCTAGTCAGAAACTGAATTTTTAACTTCAGTGTAAATAGGCAAATGTATTTAGTAGTATTTCAGCCCATGGTTATCTGTAACCTTTTTAAGGAATTCTTATTTAATTGTCCCTCTAATCCTCTCTTTTAAACTTTGTTTACAGTTCTAACTGCTCTATCCTTAACAGGAAAAGAATGTGTTTCGTTTCTAGTAATAGCAAATTTAGTTTATCTTTGCCCTCATCCATTTAGTGTCTTCATAGCACCCTAAAAATACTTTCTTCAGAGGATGTCTATATTGCAACAGCTTCCCTGGAAAGGAATTTCCAGTTGAGAATACATTTTATTACCTATTTCTGTCAATTAGGATCTCTTTGAAGAAGTCAAATCTTTTTTAATCCCAATATTCATAATTTATAAAAGGCAAGGAGGACTCTCAAATGTATATTACTAACTCAGGGCAACTTTTAAACCAACTCTTGAGCTCTTTACAAAGATTCTGATATTTCTGAGTAAAACAGACATTCAGGATGTTTGCTCTGTTAAATGTTTTCATAGATTTGAGTGTTAAGGTGAGCTGTCTTTGTATCTAGAACCTAAGATTATACTTTCTGGAGTACTAAACACATTAATTTTTAATGCCTTCAGATTCTTAATATATGCCTATATTGGGCTAGGGAGATAGCTGGGTGGTCTGAGTGCTTCCCTGGCAAGTACAAGGACCCGAGTTTGATCCCTAGTAGTGCATACTGTGCTGGCTGGCGCTTGAACCATGCACATCATGGCAGCTACCGAAACTGGGTGTGGTGGCACATGCTTGTAACCTCAGCACTGAGGAGGCTGAGACAGGAGGATCACTAGGAGTCTGAACTACATAGTGAGACCCTTTACTAAATAAAAGATTATATATATATAATCTTTTATTATCATTCCTGTGCTAATGTGTATGTGCTACTCCTGAAAAGAATTGAAATTGTCTTATCTTTGCCCTTTTGGATAGCTACAAGGTATACATTTTAGGCTAACTTAAAATTGGGTCGTTTAGCTTTAAGATCACTGTCACTTGGAGAGTCATACAGACCTGTTTTTAGGGGATGAATGGAATGAAAACAAGACAAAGTAGGGACCTCTGCCTCAAAACTTTTTATTTTCTTTTTGAGACAGGATCTCAAACTCACTGTGTAGCTGAGCCTGACCTTGAACTCTTGATTTTTCTGGCTGGCCTGCTGAGCATCCAAAATTTTTGATATTCTTATATAAAGTAGTCCCTGTCAGTAATGGAAGGAAATGTGTATGTATTCCAGGACCTTCTGCTCCTCAGGGTCAGTTAGCCACCTGTTCTTTGAATAGTAAAGCTAAAAGTGAAAGGGGAGCAGGGAGCCCAAAGGTATAGCTCAGTGGCACAAATGCCTGCCTGTCGAGCATGAGGTCCTGAGTTCAATTTCCAGTAAAAAAAAAAAAAAAAAAAAGATAAAGAGACTTTGTCTGATTAGTTTGGAATTTATAGATCTGAGATTGGGAACCAAATCATCAGGCAGAGGGGACCATTAGCAAGATTCATGTTTTCTAGATGGGATATGTAACAGGGAAATCAGTATTAAAGGGGGCTGGCCTAGTAAACTTAAAATTTGGAGCCCTCAATTTCTATATGCTACAGAATTTATTATGAATAATGATTATTTCCACTTTACCATTGTTTTCTGCTCAGAACTAATAGTTGTTAGTGGCTACCCTTAAGAATTTGAAATAAACGTATCATGATACTGAAAGACCTAAGAAATAACCATACAACTCCAATGTCACTAGCTTAATAAGTAATTTGAATAGCATAATGCTTGTTCTACATGCTGCATTATAATAGAATACATTAACAGGAAAGTAATGTCAAATTTACAGCTTATTTGAAGTGCCTTTTTTGTCCTGAAAATCATCACAATATTGGTTATTTGTCCTTTGGTCACAGTAAGATGGAGTATTCTATAAAGTTCTTTTCTCACTAGTTTGTTAAACTGAGAGGAGGAAACATTGGAAGATGGAGTAGGAGGTTCACATGTTATATTAATTCATATTGTTTCAGCAGCAGTGATGCAGGAAATGGATAAATATCAAGCTAAAAACTGGTTTAGTCTCATTTGTGGGTCATTTGTCATGATATGGATACCTATATATTTTAGACATATATCACATATTTATAAGTGCTTTTGTTATCCAGTAGAAGTTATTGCAACAAAAGTACAGCCAGTAGTGTAGCAGCAGTAGGCAATAAGACAGTTCTTGATCCATTGCAGTTATCAGTAAAGCTGAAACAAATCATTCTGCCTATTTTTTTTTTCTTATTTAGCACTTTTATTCTTAATGTGACATCACTTTGTTTCATGTGCATTATAGGACAGGAAGAACATTGAGATAGTATCAAAACCCACTTCCTTTTATGTACAAAAATAAAGAGCTCTGACAGCAAAACTCATACTTTTAGCTGAAAATTGATAGAAATTATTTCGATATATGTATACCTTTCAGCAAAGTAGGAACTGAGAGTGAACTTCAAAATTTAGTCCAATGCTTAAAACTAGCTCAT